AGTGAATAACTGTTTCCCCATTAAGTTACTTACCTTGTTTTATAGAAAAGAAATCGCTAAATTTATCTCAAATTATTTCATATCCATTTCGTTTGGAAATAGGTTATCGCAATTCAAACGACTGTCTCTCTCCTTTCGTTCCAGTTTGTTTAATGAATATATTACTTTATATCTTTATATTACACGTGACATTACATTCCCAGGTGACATTTTGATGATGTAGCTTAAAACGTATTTATAAAAATGAAAAAAAAAAAATTGTTCTATCAAACACGTTTGAAGTGACCAATTGGATTTATATATATCGAATTGTAGATAAGTGGGTACTGTAAATGTAGGGTTACCTTAAACACTCCACTTGCTGTCCTCTCGGCTGCAATTACTACAATGCAGCTAAGCGTTATTTGTTTTGTTTTTTATCATTTTTTTAAAGGAAAAAATACAATAGCCGTTGAAGTGCAACACCAGGTTGTGTTAATCTTGGCCTAGCATGGCCTAAATTAAAAGGTTAGTTGGAAAAATGTCCCACTTAAACAATGACATTTTATTGTAAAGTTTTGAATTTTAGTATTTTCACTAAGACTTGTAACCAATATCTATCCATTTGCTGTAAAATTATTAATGTCAAGATTAAATGAAAAGACAAAATTTAAAAAAAAGGAAAACTTACAGATTTCTTGACAGTTAAATGGAATATTTACTTTGAAACTGAAATATACCTTTGGAAAAATCTAAAACTATATTTCGTGTTTTCATGTTTAACTTGGTTCAAGATGTTTCCCATTACATCTTTCTGTTTCCTTTTAACTATTTTTTTAAAAAATTTCTCATAGGGATCATATGGTTGAAAGTCTTGTCTGTTATAAAGATCTATGACGATCCGTCATTTCACTGTCGCCATAACGTGAAACACAGACACAAATATTGTTAGTAGGTATTTTCTTTAGTTATTTTGTGACCAATGACAAGTGAAACAAAAGCTTACCAACATGCATCTATTTCAACTGTCGTCTTGAAATGAAAACCGAGATTTCAACCGAAAATCCCCGATGTTTTAATATTTGTTTGTGTCATTCATAAAATTACAGCTGTTGCGGGGACTCAGCTGTCCCTGGATATATAGGAATATGCAGGGGAGCCCCGCAATTTTAAGGGGCCCAGTGTTGTGCTTTGGGGAAAAAATATAACTCGTAACAATTTACATTACAAAATCTAATTCTGTCCGCAACCCCCCCACCCCCCCCCCCCCAAAGCGCGTTTGATTTTGAGTTTTAACAGATATATGCAAATAGAACCTTAATTTTTTACTTTCATGTGTTCGAGAATTTAGATAAAGATTATTTTTTGGCACAAAAAAAAATTAAAAAGAAGATTCCACTTAAAGTAAACTATTTACTGAAGGATGCAGTTAAATATTATTGGAAATAAATTTATGTAATCAAACAGAACGATTTATTACTCCCCATTATTTGATAAAGTTTTATAAATGGTACAATGGAGTGTCAATTTTACAAATTATCTATTATGTATTATATTTTGTAGATAATTTTGCAAAAATAGATAGAGAAAAAAGCTTCTTTTTGTTGAAAATTCAAAAGTGAACCCTTCTCCAGGGTATAAATCCTGGAAAAAGGTTTGTGTGTGTGTGGGGGGTGGAGGAGTATCTAGCCAGGATTTCCTCTGCCCGAAATGAATATGCATGCTGTCCTACAGGATTTCCTCTGCCCGAAATGAATATGCATGCTGTCCTACAGGATTTCCTCTGCCCGAAATGAATATGCATGCTGTCCTACAGGATTTCCTCTGCCCGAAATGAATATGCATGCTGTCCTACAGGATTTCCTCTGCCCGAAATGAATATGCATGCTGTCCTACAGGATTTCCTCTGCCCGAAATGAATATGCATGCTGTCCTACAGGATTTCCTCTGCCCGAAATGAATATGCATGCTGTCCTACAGGATTTCCTCTGCCCGAAATGAATATGCATGCTGTCCTACAGGATTTCGAGCTGGCATTTCTCAAACTGTAAATACGAGATGTAAATTAATTATTTTATACAAACTTACACATACATTTCTAAATACTTAATATTGTTAGGATAATGAGAAGAAATTAAAATTCATACAAAAAAACAACAACAACAGCACAAAATAATTTAGGATCATTTTACAAGTACCTATACATAAACAATATAACAAAAAACTAAATATAAATACAATAGAGCAGGGGTTCTTCAGCCATTTGAAGCGCTGCAACCTCATCTTGATTTCAAACAATACCTTCAACCTCATCTTAATTTTGGACAACATCATTTACAACAACAATGTACAGCTGTCATGAAATTTTAATGTCTACAAGTAGTAGAAAAAAAAAATCACAATATAAAGACTAGTAAGATACAAGTGTACATATGCAGGATGACAAGGGCAAAGGTCAAATAGCTGTTCGTTTCAAATGTTTAGCGATCTACAAAGGGGAAATGAAACATAAAGTGAATAACTGTTTCCCCATTAAGTTACTTACCTTGTTTATAGAAAAGAAATCGCTAAATTTATCTCAATTTATTTCATATCCATTTCGTTTGGAAATAGGTTATCGCAATTCAAACGACTGTCTCTCTCCTTTCGTTCCAGTTTGTTTAATGAATACATTACTTTATATCTTTATATTACACGTGACATTACATTCCCAGGTGACATTTTGATGATGTAGCTTAAAACGTATTGATAAAAATGAAAAAAAAAATGTTTTTCTCAAACACGTTTGAAGTGACCAATGGGATTTATATATATCGAATTGTAGATAAGTGGGTACTGTAAATGTAGGGTTACCTTAAAAACTCCCCTTGCAGTCCTCTCGGCTGCTACTACTACAATGCAGCTAAGCTAAAGACTGCAAAATCAAACGTTCTCCACCCGTCCATTTACGAGACTCTATATTTCAATATTTAGCGGTCTATCAACAAATTTGGTCACCAAAAATCTTTTTCGAAAAAGATGTTTAAGAAAACATGGTATTTTACATTAATGTCGGAAGTTTATAGTTTTAATTGATTTATTTTCATTTTTAACACCAAAATATTATTAGTCTATGTTTATTTTTAGATTTGTCTTAGCTACGTTAAAAAAAAAAGAGAGAAAAACTCAAATAACTTGTAAGCTAAATAGAGTAAAAACCAATAAATTGCATTAGATTTATCTTTATTATTTGATTATTTCTCTAATAAATTTTTAATACTTTTTTTCGATGAGTGTGTTTTTAAGAGAAAGGGGAGTAATCATAGATTAAACGTCTAATCAATGGGTATGGTAATCAAGGGGTATGTTAAATATGCATGGGAACCGCTGGTCTAGCTTAAACGCCCTTTAATCAGTTGCCCCGCTTGCCTGCAAGTCCCAGAACTCTCTGTAACTGATGAGAAAACAGTAGCGATGCAACTAAACAAAATACGTTCATTCTATGCAAGCTAGGTTTTTTGTGATACTTAAACAAAAAATATTAAATATGTTGAGAAAACGCAATTGTATTTTTAAAATGTGCCACCTAATTATACTATTTTCCATTTTGGCGCTTGTATTTCATATCAATAGATATAGTTTCTTTAAGTACCCTGTAACCAGATGCAAGTAATGGTGTCATGCAATATTATATAACACCAAGTTATGACATTTTTTTATCCACTCATACCCCTTATAATGTTTTATAACATTTCCACATACCACCGCCGCCAAATATAATACGCGAGCTCTAAAGCTCCTTCACTACAAAACGAGTTTGAAATTAAACCGAAACAAACAAATTTTAAGCAAAAAGATAGAAATAATTTGTTTCAAAAACTAGCTATTTATTTTATTAAACATCACCGGTATATAATATGATCACGGTCCCAATGATTTACATTATTTATCCATTGGTAGCTAGTGTATCACTAAATATAAATAATCTACATATCAATATGTTCGGATTCGCCACATCAATGTTACTTTAATATATATTTTATAAACACATTATTTCATTGTGCTAAACTTAGGTAAAGAATTGAAATCTTGAAGCACAGCCCTGTCATCCACCAACAATAAAGTTAAGTATTTTACGGTTTAGAAACATGAACCATAAATTGTTCAAATTCCAGGACTCATTTTTTTAAAAAAAGAAAAACCATTTAATTTTTAAATTACAAGCACATATGAGTCAATAATTGTATTTACAAAAAAGTTATGTTTAGAATAAGGTACTGAACTCAAACTCCGAGAATATGTTTTAAAAACATGCATTATGGTTATAAATTACCAAGCACAGAAGCCAAAAAAAAGACAACATTTTATATATTTAAAAAAATAAACAAGGACTAGTCGAAGGAGTGTGATTGCCAAGAAAAGCAGTGAAATATATGTGCTTAGATTTACAAAAAAAAAAATGAAATGCCAAAATATGTTGAACAAATATAATTTGACAAATATAATTTTTTTAACGAAATGGTACATCAAGTAAAATTTTTTTTTTTTAATTTTAAATTTAACAACAATTTTTTGTTAAGATTTATTACACATACAATAGCTAAGCAAAGAATAATCTTAGTTTAATAAAAAAAATATATATAGTTTGATAATTAGATGAACCAAATGAGCAATGGATAAAAATTAAGAATATTAATAATGAGATTGATCAATATGAGTGTTGAGAATGCATTTAAAGACACGGATCAATTTGAATATTAACACATTATCTGTAACAAATCAGATAAATGAATATGAATGTTCAAATTAGATTAATGCAAATGAAGATTATGAACTTGATTAAAAAATATGAAGTCCATCAATAGATGTTAGATCAACAAATCTACATATGAGCATATGCATGTTGAAAATTAGATTGACACTCATAGATATCTAGAATGACGTTTACAAATTTGAATTTTAAGAAATACATTTTAACATTTGAATTTGAAATATACATTGAGAATAAGATTAATAAATAAAGAATTATTCACATTATATTATGCTTATCAAATCCTTGTTCAATGTATGACTTATTGGTCTAAGCCTAGGATATACCTCGTACTATGTTATAAGCCAACTAATGAGTGGTATACATGTATATGTTTGGGTGGGGAAGGATGAAGGGAATGCTGCATCAAGACAATGATGTGTAATCTTGCAATAAATCTCTCTAGCTAAATGACAAGCTTTAATATTGCGATTGGCTGTTGACGAAGCATTACATCTATTAACAACAACAACATGCTATCTCTGTCTGGCCTTCAGATCAAAGAGAACGCCAAAATGACCGTTACGGATGTGCAGAACCAGGAGTTACCCTTCAAGAATTGAGTTCAATGTCGGACCAATCCATCGCTCGAAATGTCTTTTGGGATTTATTCCCTTAGCCTTAATGATAGAGAGTTATTTTTCAAATGGGGATAAGTCTGATGTGCCCTGAATTTGTGTTGATTTATTTTTTATTGTATTCCTGTGTTTAGGCCACAAGAATGCGTGTGTGGCGTCGTATTTGATAATTTATTTCCAGATTTTACAATGTCATTCAGTATGTATAATGTTTATGTCATTCAGTATATATAATGTTTATGTCATTCAGTATATATAATGTTTATGTCATTCAGTATATATAATGTTTATATTTATTTAAATCCTATTTTCCTTTGTTATATTTTTAAACATTTTTCTGCTTTCAAATTTAATCTTGCAGCATCCGGTGACGTATATATACATTTCAATTTGTTTCTTTCGTTCAATACACATTCAACATTATTAATTTCATTTAAAATGAATTATAAATCAATTGACAAAACTGCTAATAAATTTAATATACTCCAAACTGTGTATAATAAATGTCAGATAAGTATTGAAACTAAAAAAAATTATATCCCATTAATAAATCTATTACCCTTAAAATCTCATCACGAATTAATTAATCTTTGGCATAATTCGTTTCTTTTTCTTCCTATATTTTGAGGGCCATCGATCAATTTATTGAGCATTCTGGCTCCTGGTTTGAATTCAGAGTTTGCATTTTCCAAAGATGAGTTGCCGAGTCCCATCCATACGGCTGGGGATGCTTTTTGCTTTGGTGGGGATTGAACTCCAGACCACCAGATATTTGGATTTAGTCAGTTCCGACCGCTCGGCAACTCAGTATCCCTAAAGGTGGATTGGTCAATCTTGGCAAATTCTGTAAAGGTGTTTTTTGCACTTAAATGATGAGAACGACTACCTTAGCTTGAAGACATTATAAATGTTTTCAGAGTAAGCCGACAGAACCAAATTCAGAAACTACAAAAGATACAAAATACTGCAGCACACATTGTATCGCGGATGAAGAAATCAGACCACATACCCCAGTTCTACGAGCTCTCCATTGGGTTCCTGTCAGTCAACGCATTAATTACAAAAATCTGTCCCTGGCGTACAGCTGCATATATGGCTAAGCTCCGGAAAATCTCAAAGAACTGATTTATAAACATGTATCCTTGAAGAGCCTGCGGTCGTCAACACAGTACTTACTGAGAGTTCCTTGTATGGTTGAATACAGAAAAAAGTCGTACGTAGTACGCTCTTTTGAAGCGATAGCACCAACATTATGGAACAGTTTGCCTCAATCTTCGAGAGGAATTAAAAATGATAAAAAAATCATTTAAGAAACATTTAAAAACTTTTTTGTTTAAATAGATTTCGAAAACCAGAGCGCAGTGAACATGCTAAAGTGACATGGATACCAGCGAAATATAAATATCAAAATCAATCAATCATTCAATCAATCAAGTCACAAATACTTAAGTTGCAAGGGGTTAATTTTTTTGTTCTTGTCATCACAGGAGTTAAGCTACATCCAAATATTTTATGTCATGTTCTGATGTTGAAAGACAAAACTCCAAAAAACAATTCTAAGTTTACGATATCTCGAATCAATTTATGAAGCAGCAATTGTTTTTAGGACAGCGGGTACAATATTGGACAACGGTGGATCATCAGTTGTACAACAAATCTTTCGAATTTTATCAAACAGTTTTGAACTTGCCGAATATGCTGCATCATCCTCGAATCCTTTACCAAAACTAAAACAAAGGTGCTCGTTAATATAGATGACGCCATACATATTGGATATGCCCTGCCAAAGAATATCAACCAATTTAAAATGTACGCCATTTATCTCGTCACTGTTAATTTCCCAAAGGTTGCCATTAGCTTGAAGACTATATAACTGTTTCTCTTTTCTGAAACTATGCATATTTTTGGCTGATCCATCCAGGCTTTCAAGTCTTGTCCATGTCTGAGACCGTGTGTCAAGACAATGTACGGCTGTCTCGTCAATTACCTCCGAGCAGAATGCAAGTATAAAAAATTCACATTGAGAGACGTGTTCTATTTTATCCTTTACGGGGAAACTAATCAAGTCTTCAAATAAACAGTTCCATTGTCTTGGATCAAATCTTTTAATTTGTTGATTAGAAGAATTAAATAAAAAAACAAAATCATCAACAGCCACACCCAGCCATCCGTGACCTGGTAGTTTCATGAGTTCACGCCATTCATTTTGTACAAAAACACACACGCTGCTATTCTCTGCTACATCACCGACTGCAATAAAGTATGATTCGTAGGCAATTAAATTCACACAACTGCAGTTGACCAGATACGGACAACTTGGAATTTCTAACCAATTTTTCTTATGTTTATATGAAAAAACACTAAAAAGTCCATTTGTTATACTGTAGACTGCAACATTTATTAAGCCACTACAACTTCGATGAACGGCTGCCTTCAGACTCTGACCATGTTGACGACCAATTGACTTATATAATGCGGCATCCATTACCATTGCCCGGATTCTTTTGTCCTCCATTATTAAATCATCATGCGATAACTTTTCTAGAGTTATAGCATTAACAAGACACAGTCTTGTTTCTGAAAGAAAACTTTCAAGACATTTCATGCGATATTCCTTTGAATATTTTGGACTGATTGCAATGTCTTCCACGTTTTCTTTTCTTTCATCTTTATCTCCTTCTTCTTCTTTCACTACTTTTTCTCCTTGTTCAAGTTCTTCTTCTTTCTCATCTTCTTCTTCACCAGTGTGAAAGCTGCTTGAGTTCTCATTCAGATCTTCAGCCATACATACAGATTTAATTTGATTTCCATTGTTAATCCAAGTTAAAATAGATTGAACAACAACATCTTCAGAAGATACAACCAGATCTTGACTTTTTATTATTTCAAGTAAATCATTTTCACTAAGATACAGAAATGCCTCAGACTTGATGACTTGTTCAAAATTGTTCTTCATGAAATCTCGAACATGTGACAAAATCAAATCTGATGCTAATTTGTTCGCTGTCTCATATATAATATTCCAATTTCTCAGAGATGTATTGCTGATTATAAACTTTTCACACAACTCTATAATATTTGTGTGCATTAATTGAGACGCTGCTTCCCAAATTTCGATGACGTTATCTTTGGCAATTTTTTTTGTAATAAAATCTACACAATTTTCGAAGATAAATGTTATTTGAAGTTGATCTGCAACAAGCCAAATGCTTAGCATGTTCTCACGTGTCAGATTGTCACATCCGGTGTAGAGAGTTTCTAAAATAGCTGTGAATGTTTCCGTGGATACTCCTTCGAGTTTCGTTCTTTGTTTCTGCGACTCTTTCATCCCAGACCTGAGAAGACCACGAAACAATCCAGAACACGCGCTGAGTATCAGACGATGGCATTTAAATTCTGTGCCTTCAACTTCAACAACGAAATCCTGAAGTTCTTCATCTTCTCTCACAGATGATATACCTTCAATGATGGCACAGGCTATCTCCGGTTTGGTTAACATGCTGCTGTTTATATCTTTTTTTAATTTACTTAAATCTGAGGATGTTAGAATAAAAATGGTTGTATTTAATGAAAAAATAAATAGCAAACTACCATCATAAAAAAAAATAACATCAATTTTAATTTTAATTGAATGTTCATTGTCATTCCCATCATATATTATTCCTTATGTTCACATTCTGTAAGCCTCTTTATCCTTTGTTTTTGCAAAGTGCTAATTGAATTTCTATTTTTTTACCACGTGACATACATTGGACTTTTGTAAACCCTTTGCCTACCTAATATAACACATTATAAAACGTTTTGACTACGATACTACTTTTAATTATAAAAATTAAATACCAATTTTTTATATAAAACATAATATATGTGTGTCTTATTAATTTTAATATAACAACCGTTAACAGAGTACTATAAAAATAAGAAGAAGAGTATCACTCTAAGATTAAGTAATCGATTGCCTTATTTTATCGTTTTAAAAGATACCCCAAAACACACTGTGATTCCCTGATATGTAACACCAAAATTTATGAACACAATAAAAGCTGTGTATTTTATAGCAAAAAGAGTTATCCATAGAGTAACTCCTCTGTCGTACTTGGCAGAGGTCCATGTCTTGTCCAGCCTCACTCTAGTATCAGCAGTGCTGATAGACCAATTACCATCACCTAAGACACAGGATTAAAGAAAGCAAGGTTCTTCTAAGAAATACTGGCTTTTCGAAAAATCCAACTGAAATATATTCCGTGAAGGAATAGAAAGCACAATCTTAAGATCAGCTTGGATCCCTGAAGCCTCAGTGACTAGCGATGATGCTTAAAACAACCCGGTGACTGCTATCTGATGTGGTGGACACAAGAACATACCAAGAAAATTTAGGAACGGCAAGTTCCGACATTTCCAAACCAAAATTAGTAGGAACTCGTCCGCTTGCGTTACTTACAAAAAGTTCAGGAAGCTGTTATCGTTTGGAAAATATATATTATATGTTGTTATTTGTGAAAACTAAATCTGGCAGACTAAAAAAAAGGGTTTGGTAATTAATTGACTCTCGTTCTTAAATGGGGTTAAAAAAAAAACTCAAGAACCTACTAAGGATGACAGACGCGTTTACCACGGATACCAAAGGGTAAATGCTTATACAGGCATTTTGGTAGAGGGAGTCAAAAAAGTGAGACACCAACAAAAACCAAAAAATTACTCGACTCAATAAGCATGGAGAATACACCAAGCAATGCGGAATAAATGCTGAAGTTTTTACCGCGAATTTTTCTCTGAACAAATTGTAGAAAGCGATCGATGAGTGCAAAGCTGACAAGGCACAATTACAGGATATAATCTGTAACAAAATTATCAAAAACAATTACACGATAGCTAAGACCTCGTTATTGAATTTCATAAGCAGATCATGGACCACGGGAGACATGCCCATAGCATTGCACAGTTTTACAATCGATCCAGTTTGAAAAGAGGGGAAGAATGAAGATAATCCTAGCTAGCATCCGATCTCCATAGCATCGTGTCTAGGGAAGATAGCTAAGGAGAATGGTTTGTGAAAGACTCTATTGACACCAGGAGTTTAGGAATTGTTAAAGTAAACAAAGCGGGCTTTTGCGATGGAAAGTGGCCTTTAGATTAAGTGCTCCGTCTTTCAAGCCCATAAGCGACAGTCACGAGAAAAAATCCCAAACAGGTGATGTAGTTTGTTGTCTTTTATTACATTTTACGGGCCTTTAACATGATCATGATTTTAGGCTAAATTTGCATGGTGTAGGAGTAACTGTGAACAGGCACAAGTAAAACTCAAGTATTCTTACAAGGTAACAGTGCAATGGGTTCCAAGCCTCGTAGAAGTGAAGGGCAGTGAAAGTGCAGAAATAATGACACAAACCAGAGCTGCCCATTCCAAGCCAGAAACACCAATAACTTAAACTCGATGTCTACATTGGCTGGCGAGACACGTCAGGACAAAGTTGTACGGAAAGTGTTCAGACCGCACGAAGGTCAAAGGTGTATATGGAAATATGCTGCATCACAGTAGAAAAGACCCTGGGGGAAACCAGGTTGCCAACGGAACACTGCCCCAATAACCATATTTCAACAGAATAAACAACAAAAGGGATTAAATACACCCAACGATTTAAAGTACCGGTATAGAAATTAACACCAAGAAGGTGGTACATTTAATCTTTGCGAAAGGTCGGACCCTTCTCAAACATACGATCGTACTAAAGTTGAACAATTTAGCGCTGAAAGTGGGAACGTAGCCGGTTTCCTTGGGAGTCAAATTTTATCGAAAAGTACAAGTACATACTTCATTGCGTTCACGAATTTGGGCACCTGAGAAGAAAAACTCAGAGCTCACTTCCTGAGTAGTGTCAGGTCAGTGATGGACAATGGTATACTCTTCCAAATTTTGCAATCGAAACTGCATATAAAAAATTCCCAAAATCCATAATCAGCATCTTGTAATGGTGCATTTAAGACCACATCCAAAGTTGCTGGGGAAATTTTAACAATGTAGAATGGTATAATACATAAGAGACAATCTACTTTTAACTACTATGGAACGGTACATAAAATTAAATCTAAAGAAACTTTTATTCAAACTGCAATATAATGAGTTAGCAGGAAATACTATAAAAAGTTCTTTTTTTATTCATTAATTTGTGGAACTCAAAAGGTCAAACTAATGCCCCAAGAAAAGAACAATAATTATCACTATTCCTATCAAATTGCTATTTGTGGAATCTTCCTGTCTCAAAATGTGTTTGGCTCTTAATGACACGACACAGGAGTTGAAACTGATGAAACTAGACGTAGTCATTTTCTCCCCTTCAAGATAAGCTCTCGGAATCTAAAGTATGAATGACGTAAAAAACATTTGTTTGACGCCATCTTGGAAGTCGTGGCCAAGCTCAAGCAAATCGGAGACAAGGTAATCTTTCAAATATTACCAAGCCACGAAAACGTGAAGGGCAATTAAAGAGCAGACACAATGGCTGTTACGCACTGGCTCCTCTTGTGAGAAATTAATCTCCTATTTTAAATTGATGGCTCATTCAAACAATGGACGATACCATAGAGAAATACAACTAACAAAAATACGACGCCCAAAACAGTACCAATTACAATTAATAAGATTTAATTTAGTAATAATACTATTACAAAACAAAATAAGTATAATTACAAATTATCAACTTACAGAGTATCTGAAAATATGGTAGATCTTGAACCGGTACACAGAGAATACAATGTGCCAATTAATAATGTACAATGACGAAAGCGAATAAACACATAGGTACACAAAGAATAATACACGTCTCGTGAAGTTAAAGTATATCTATCTGAACCTCCGTCTCTCTCTGTGCCTGTCAATCCCTTATATATGTGAGTCTACTGACGCGTCTAGAAACGCCCTTACTTTTCTAGAATTTAAATGTCATTTTTTTTAAAAATATTAATTTAGCTCTAAAGAGTTTATTTTAATGATCTAACACTTTTTATGAAAAAACAACAATACCTGTTGAGGTGCAACAACATAGGACCAGGCTGTGTTAAGCTTCGTGTGTCGACCTTGGCCTTGCATGGCCTAAATTAAAAGGGTGTTAGGAAAAATGTCCCAGTTAAACAATGAACTTTTATTGTAAAGTTTCGAATTTAATTATTTTCAAATGTAAGAAATATCCACCGTTTTTATTGTAAAATTATTAATGTCAAGATTAAATGAAAAAACAAAGAAAACTAACAAAAACTTACAGATTTCTTGAAAGGTGCAGGGATCTTTACTTTGAAACTGAAACGTACCTTTGGGAAAATCCAAAATTATATTTCGTGTTTTCATTCTAAACTTGGATCAAAATGTTTCCCGTTGCATCTTTTCTTTCCTTTTACCTATTTAAAAGAAATGTCTCAACGGGATCATACGGTGGAAAGTCTTGTCTGTTATAAAGATCTGTGACGATCCGTCGGTTCACTGTCGCCATAATGTTAAACACCGACACAAATGTTGTTAGTGGGTATTTTCTTTAGTTATTTTGTGACCAATGACAAGTGAAACAAAAGCTTACCAACATGCATCTATTTCAACTGTCGTCTTGAAATGAAAACTGAAATTTCAACCGGAAATTCCCGATGATTTATCTTTCTTTGTGTCAATCATAAAATTAGAGCTGTTGTGTGGACTCAGCTGTCCCCGGGATAGGAAGGAATATACAGAAGGGCCTCGTAGTATTAAAGGGCCCAGCGTTGTGATATAGGGAAAAAATATCTATCACCTTTGAATGCAGAGGGCTTTAAAAATTCAAAAGTGTACGTCTCTTTAGGCTACAAGTCCTGTAAAAAGTGTGTGTGTATGGGTGGGAAGGGGGGTGGCCTAACCCATGGTTTCCTCCTTGCGAAATAAAAATGTATGCTGTTTTACAGGACTCAAGCCTTGATTTTCAAAATGTAAATATACCAATTAAGTGTTATTTTATACAAACCTACCAATACATTTCTCAATGTTTAATATTGTTAGGATAATGACAATAAATTTAATTTAATTTTTAAAAAATCACAGGAAAAAATAATATAGAATTATTTTACAAGTACATATATAGAAACAAAATTTAAAAAAACTGAATATAAATATAAATAGAGCGGCGGTTCTTAAGCTATTTGAAGCGCTGCAATCTCATCTTAATTTCCAAGAAAAGCTTCAACCTCATCTCATTTTTAGACAACATCATTTAACACAAAAATGATCAGATGTCGTGAAATTGTAGGTGTTTACAAGTAATAGAAAAAAGTGATCCCTACATCAAGACAAGCAAGTTACATGTGTACATATGCAGGATGACAAGTCTTAGTGTTCAACGTCAAAAAAGCTTTATTGTTCGTTTTAAATGTTTAACGTCCTCTGACAGGGAAATAAAAATAAATTAAATGACTGATTCCCATTAAGTTACTTCCCCTGTTTTATTGAAAAGAAATCGGTAAATTCATCTCGAATTTTTCCATATTCACTTCATTTGGAAATATGCTCCCGCAATTCAAACGACTGTCTCTTTTCTTTCGGTCTATTTCTTATAAATATATCATTTTATATCTTTATATAAAACATGAAATTACATTGCCAGATGACATTTTTATCATGTTCTTTTACAATTATTATATAAATGAAACATGGTTTTTAATGGAGATGAGATGCTTCAGACGCATTTTTGGCATCTGCTATAGGGACCATATCTCCAATGGGACAGTGAAAGAAATGGTTCGCCTGGCCATTGGGGAGTACGATGACCTCCTGGTGACTGTGAAAAAATGCAAACTACAATGGTACGGCCACGTAACAAGGAAACAAGGGCTTGCCAAAGAAATATTGCAGGGCACCACAACAGGAGGGAGAATAAGAGGAAGACAAAGAAAAAGATGGGAGGATAACATCAAAGAGTGGACAAGACTAACACTGGGCGATGCAGTGCGTAGTGCAGAAGACCGAGACGAATGGAGAAGGATGGTTCACATGTCATCTGTGGCGCCCCAACGGTCCCAAGGAGTAACGGACATGAGGATAGTTCAAGTGTCATCTGTGGCGCCCCAACGGTCCCAAGGACTAACGGACATGAGGATAGTTCAAGTGTCATCTGTGGCGCCCCAACGGTCCCAAGGACTAACGGACATGAGGATAGTTCAAGTGTCATCTGTGGCGCCCCAACGGTCCCAAGGACTAACGGACATGAGGATAGTTCAAGTGTCATCTGTGGCGCCCCAACGGTCCCAAGGACTAACGGACATGAGGATAGTTCAAGTGTCATCTGTGGCGCCCCAACGGTCCCAAGGACTAACGGACATGAGGATAGTTCAAGTGTCATCTGTGGCGCCCCAACGGTCCCAAGGACTAACGGACATGAGGATAGTTCAAGTGTCATCTGTGGCGCCCCAACGATCCCAAGGACTAACGGACATGAGGATAGTTCAAGTGTCATCTGTGGCGCCCCAACGGTCCCAAGAACTAACGGACATGAGGATAGTTCAAGTGTCATCTGTGGCGCCCCAACGGTCCCAAGGACTAACGGACATGAGGATAGTTCAAGTGTCATCTGTGGCGCCCCAACGGTCCCAAGGACTAAGGGACATGATAATGATTTATCAATTGTTAAGTCTCCATACTGGCCAATCGCATATTCGTACTCTGGTGACTGGTCAATAATAATGGGTACCTGAGCATATTGCTTTACAAGCGATACATATTTACCACTGTGTACTATTAATGAATTTCTGTAACAAAAAAAAAAAAACTCTTTAAAATAAGTCAATACATTAGTTAAATAAGTGTCGGTCACTGTCACTTTGATCGTCAGTACATATGAGGGCGCAGAAATATCAGACACTGTCTGGTGGCTCCCATGTGAAGGCTTCCCCGCCCCCCTGGGATGGGGGGGGGGGTCACCATCAAAAATTTTATTATCAATTGAAAATGCAAGAAAAGATTTTTGGCGCATAACTGAATTAAGTTTTCTATCATTCTACACTTAATTTGAAATATGCAGATGAAATGCTAGTGGAGATCTAAGTGTCCTTTTATAAGTGTCCTTTTACAATGTTGTGTTTATACAAGTACCCTTTTATTTCATTTATGATTTGAGATCACAAACTTAAATTAAACTCATAAATAACAAAGACACAATAGAGTCCCGTATGCCAGATAGGCGCGTACTGTCACAAAAAATATAAAATTAAATTAAGGAAAATGTTTTTGGTGCATCGTACGGTAGGGAGCATTTGAATTAAGAACACTTACATAGGCGTAGTATTGAGGGGGACATTGGTGGGTGGTCGAAAAAATAATCTGACTACAGAAAAATGAAACGTAAATATGGGCTAAACGTTTATAATATTATTGTAAAAATACACCACGACAAAATTGAAGCCTTTCATCATTGATTTCTAAAACGTAGGTGGACAATAGGTGGACAATAGGTGGGTGGGGTCGTCATCTAGGCAGGCAGATGAATGGAAAGTGGAAACAAAATGGGTGGGGGGGGGGTGAATTTTACATGGGAAATAACTCATTCAATTCTTAGCTTGACAATGTTCTGTGCCAAATTCGTATCTTCTTAATGTTTTGCTATTTGTAGAAATAAATTCAACTTCAAATGACAAATATTCGTTTGAAAATGAAGAAAACTTAAAACAGATCAATTTGTTGCAAAATTATTACCGTTTTTATTTGTACTTTTAAAAAAAAAATTCAAGTCAAATAAATATTGAGAATATAATGTAATGACAATTTTTAATAGTTTATTTTAATAGTTCAGTTAAGTCCAAATTAGAAAGTGAAATAAAAATATCTCAAGCAAAAAGCCAGTCATAATGTTGTACACAAATGAGCTAATTATTGTATTAACTTTTCCTTACCCCCTTGACGTTATATAATAAGTACGCCGACCCTAAGCTTTACATTTATTATCCTTGAAGTGCATTTGATGGTAATATGTATCCTTGATTGCAAGAGTATCAATAAATGTAATTAATTTAACATTCGACATAGTAGGAGTGGTAACATCAATAATATTTTAAACACTATATAAAGAAACATTATTTCATTGTAAGAAAATTAGGGAAAGAAAAAAATCTGGGCGTACTGCATCCTGATATACAAAATTTAAACAAAAATTTATTTTTCCAGTTTAAAAACATAAGCTTTTAAAATTTGTCAAGTTCAAGTTCTTTTTTGTCTTGTTTTAATGTTTCACGTTTAATGTTTGATTTACGAAAACATGTTAGTCAAAAATGAGATTTACAAAAAAGTCTTGTTTAGAATTTGTGAACAAACAAGGGCTCAGGAAAAATGTTCACAAATATGTATTGTGATCACGAACAAAATTAATTGAATTGATCAAAATACATCAATAGTAATAGATTAACAGAAAATTTATCAAAAGAATTATATTTTCAGTAATGAGGATGAAATGTTAATTAACATCAATTGAAATTATGTATAAATCTTTAACATTTTGATATCTTGAATAAAGAGAAAATATATGGATGTTTAGAACTTGATTTACAAATATGATTTTTGTGAAGTAGATGAACAGTTATACTATTTGAGAATTAAATAAGCAAGCATAGATGCTTAAAATGACACTTATTTTTTTAAGTTTGTTAATAATTAGATAAAGGTGTTGATGGCCAAGAATAACCATACAAAAATATATGGTTAGATTTAACAAAAATTAATTTTCAGAATATGTCTACAAATAAGATCTGTTTAAAAAAGTTATTTAATTAAAGACAAAAATGCTAAGTATAATATTTCAAAACAATTCTGAGATTTAACAAAACTTTTTTTAAACATTTAATTTAAAATACAATAGCTGAGAATAGAACAATCTGAAATTAATCAAAAATAAAGTTTGATAATTAGATGAATCAAATGAGTAATAGATACAACATTAAGAATACCGGTATCAAGAATGAGATAAATATACATTTTTGATTTGTTGATTTATAAATAGGAAAGTTGAAGAGTTGATTTATTGATATAAATGTTGAAAATGTTGATTTATAAATATAAATGTTGTGATATAGATTAATGAATATTAATGTTGATCAATTTGATTATTAAAATATAATAGTTGTTACTAATTAGATCATTAAATAGAAATATTCAAATTTCATTAAAGCAAATGATAATTTTTAGTTTAAAAAACAAATATAGAATCTAAAATATAGATGTTGGTTGTATGTAAAAACAATAAATCAAAATAAATATGAGCATATGAAAGTTGAGAGTCAGCATAAGTACAAACATACATATCTGG